CGTGCATTGCCATGCGCAGCCCCGGGGTCAGCTGAGCCCAAGAGGGTGCCGAAGCTCGGAGTGGGCGCGCGGCGCTTTTTCTCGGTGCTGGGCAGAAGATGAACTCCGGAACGCAGTGCTCTGAAGCGCTGGTCTTTCCCGGTTTTCCGTTCTAGGGGCTCAGGACCCCGGCCTGGGAAAGCCGCGTGAATCGCCCAGGAGCTTTCTGCCCTGGCGGTTGCTTACTAAAGCTTGTTTTCACTGCTCTCTGCTGCCAACAGGAAACGCAGCGGCCGTGATGCCACCTAGCATCCTGAAGGGCACCGCGATTTCAAAGGTTTGGGGCAGAGAAGATGGAATGTGCTAAGAAGGGACACATTTCTCCAAGATGTGCAGTCTTCAACCCGCAAACCCTCATTGGGGGCGATTTTAAGGGGTCCAGAAAGCAGAAGTGCAGCACTTTCTCTGGCTGCTGTACTTGTTTCTTGGCAAAATTGCGACCTGTGTTTGTTTGTTTGTTTGTTAAACAAATTTAAATTGTCCTGGTGAGTCCTGAAGAAATAACACTAATTACTGTTGTGGTCGCTGGGCAGTTCCCAGTCTCAGGCCTTTACAATATCTCGAAGTCACAATTCAGTGAGACTTCTCTGTCCGTCCCTGCATGGCACAGCTTCAAGTCTAGAGGTTTGTGTATCTCAGGGTTTACATCTTTATATTTAAGTAATGTTAGGATTAATATTATCCAATCAAGACAAGATGAAGCAGTTTATTTTTAAAGACTCTTGCTTTACAATTTTATTTACGTTTGCACTTAATAGCAAATATGAAGAAGAATGAGCCAGTACGAAGTGATTGAGGGTGTTCCTGAATGGGGGCAAGAGAACAATGGGTCCAGTATTGGAGTTCAAGCCTCAGAAGGGCATTCCGGAGCCCCATCACGTAGGGTCTTAAGTCTGTTAAGCGTTTTTGTTATTAGTATTGAGGACTGTGGGAGCCACCAGCCCAGAAAAGGCTAGGGAGGGGGCCTCCTAATGGATATGCACTAGAAGGCTTGCTCAGGCACCAAAGGGAGAATATGCAGGTCCGAACAGAGCGGCAGAGTGCAGGGAGAGAAGCTGCTGTATGTAATTCAGGCCAGAGAATCTGGCTGAGTTAAGGAACTAGGGATGGGTAGAGTGGAATGGAGCTGGGAAATAAGGAGCAAGATTTTCAGTCCTAAGTTGCACAAGTGCCAAGGTGGAGGAAGCTGGAGTATAGTGGAGAATTAGGAGTGAGAGGGCTGAGGGCACAATCCTGGAGAGCAGCAGACATTTAGAAGGAGAGAGAAGTAAGCACAGAGGGACCAAAAGGGAGTCACCCCAGAGAAGCACTTAGCTAGAGGACAGTGGCTTTAGTGCTAAAGCTAGAATCACAGACTTTTGGGAGAACATTGGACAGTTTCCTGAGTCCTTTCCACGGCTGTCTATAAAATACAAGGGACAGACTAGAGTGGGTCTGATAGGGTTACAAACAGCATTGAAGACAAGACGGTTTCCCCCAGGCTGAGGGTAAACTTGAGGTGAGCTCATCAATGAGCTCTAGCTCTACCCCTCGGCCCCAAATACTTGTCTTAACATTTTCCTTCGTTGCTTGTTTTCTTTCAGTGGTGGGATGAACTTAGGCCCTCCCCCATGTTGGTCAGTGCTCTACCCCTGAACTATATTCCTAGCCCTCTCTTTATTAAAGAATAAGCAATCAGAGGATACCAGGGAAGCCCATGAAACTTTGAGATGAGGTGGTAAGGGGCCTGCACAGTTAAATCTGCAACAAGTTCAAATTGGCTGCCTAAGAGTGAGCCTTCTCCAAGTGTGCCCTCCCCCGACAGCTCACAGGAAAGTGGTGAGAAGTTTTGCTCTTTCTCTTGTTCCCATTAAGAAGTTAATCTGAAAAATCTTCATTGATCAGTGAGGGATTTAAACTTGGGGTTTCACTACTGGAAAAGGCTGGAGATGTCATTTGGGCCACCCACTCTGCTTGATGTTTTTCTGGCTTGGTTTGGCATCTTTGGAACTTGAAACCTGGTCTGTAGGAAAGCAGAATACCTATTTCGAACGCCCTGGAGGCACTCTGGGCAGTTTCCAAATAATATCAGAACTCTTAGGCAAATTAATGTCTTGAAGGTGCTTGTCCCCATACCTTACTCAATAAAGAGGACAAAAGCAGCTGTGTTTTGTTGTGTTTTGTTCCATTTTGCCCAGCTGTTTTAATCCTCAGCCAGATTCTCTCAGCTTTGGAGAGGCAAAAGAGCTTCCTTAAACCAGAATTTTAAGTTCAGCCATAGCTTTAAAGATTAATGTTCAGACAACATGTTTTCTTAATGTTAATGATGACAGCAAATTTACACCAGAAGCCTTGCTGTTTGACTGCCAGGCATATGATATGAACTTGCTTCAGTAACTATTCTTCTGGGAATAGTGAGGGCAGTGTTGATTGTTCTGCCTCTTTCTAATTCGAAGAAGAGGAAAAATAAACATGTACACTTGCTTTCCAAAGCTAGTGGATTCTTACTCGAGAAAAATAGTCTGTAGTTTATCAAAGAGCAGACTGATACATTGGGGAAATCTTTCAAAATGTGTCTCAAGTTGTCTTTGTTTCCTCCTGGTTTCCACTCTTGGAGGATTCAAGAATTAGTATTTAGAGAAAGGAAGCAAGCAGAGAAACTTCTCCAACCAAAGATGCTCTTGCACCCCAGGGCAGTTCTAAGTTCCTAGAGCAGGCACAGACCAAATGCCCGGTAAAACTTGAGCCAGAACTAAGCCAATTGGCCACAAAACAACATCAGTAGCAACAACAAATCCCACACAACCTGGAGCAGCCTGGGGGAGGCTTATATAAACTGCCCTGCCAGTTGGTGCTGGTTGAGACACCTACTTCGCTGGGCTTTCTAGGCTCCACAGGCTCTCACTACTCGGCACATCTCTCGCCCCCTACCGGAAAGAAAAAGCAAATGTTTTCACATTAAACGGCGACCGAAGAGTCAGGTTGCTCCAACTCTCCATTTAGGGAAACTTTTAAGGCTAACTGAGCAAAGAGTGTTTTTCTGTCCTCAAAGTCTTCCCTGCGCCGTCTTGTGTCAAGTATCACAAATGACTGAATGCGAGACTTTCCTTTTTTTTGATCTGAAGAAAAATGGACTAGCCACCCTAAAAAGGGAGGGCCTTTGAGGGAATGCAGGATTGAAGACCTTGGCTGCCCAGAGGCAGAGATGATGTCACCACTTCTGCACAAGAGGCTGGGGGTGGAGCAGCATTGCTGGGAGCCGACTCTTAGCTCGCAGCTGCCAAGGCTGCTGAGCCCACGTCAGGGGACGAGTCTGGATAAATAGGGTCCCGCAATGGCTGTGTCTGGCTATGCTCCGAGCTGCGGGGTCCAAGACTGGAGCTTCCTGCGCGGGTCGGTGCTCTGGAGGCTGAGTGCTGGTGCTGCTGGTGCTCGGTGCGCCCAGGGGCGATCTGTGGCCAGACTCCAGAACTCCCCATCAGTGCCGACCTGCAGAAAAGCTCACCCGCTGCTTCTAGGTGAAGGGATAGGGAGGCTGGAAGAGAGAGGTTCTTCCTGTCAACAGCAGCTCCGGAGGACAGTGTCATGCTCCTCTCCATCCTGGTAGCCTTGTGCCTGTGGCTGCGCCTGGCGCTGGGAGTGCGCGGCGCACCTTGCGAAGCTGTGCGCATTCCCATGTGCCGGCACATGCCCTGGAACATCACTCGGATGCCCAACCATCTGCACCACAGCACGCAGGAGAACGCCATTCTGGCCATCGAGCAGTACGAGGAGCTGGTGGATGTGAACTGCAGCTCTGTGCTGCGCTTCTTCCTCTGCGCCATGTATGCACCCATCTGTACCCTGGAGTTCCTACACGACCCCATCAAGCCCTGCAAGTCTGTGTGCCAGCGTGCACGCGACGACTGTGAGCCCCTCATGAAGATGTACAACCACAGCTGGCCAGAGAGCCTGGCCTGTGACGAGCTGCCCGTCTATGACCGTGGGGTGTGCATCTCTCCCGAGGCCATAGTCACTGACCTTCCGGAAGGTAAGGCAAGAGGAGGTACCCCAGGAGGACAAGAGAGTCCAGGGGCCCACACAATCACGTGATAACCAGGTGGCCTCACGTACAGCCTACCAGCTCCTGTCCCATCACAATTCACTGAGCCTTGAGGGAGGTGAAAAGCAGGGAAGATTACTTCACGGGGAAGATTTCTCAAGGCAGGGAAATATGCCAGTGCTCCCTGAAGGACTTGGGAATAAGGTTGCTTGGGGGTAAACCATTTAAGTGTTTTTATTTGTGGTAAATAGCAGAAACAAAAGGCACAGCAAACAGATATTACTGGGTGTGGGTCAGTGTTAACCCTGTGTCCTTCACCTTCCCTAATGCTTGAATCAGCCCCACCATGTGGTGGTTAATACACTCTCAGTGCTGATTGAAAGTTCTTTCTCAAAGAACAATAGCTATTCTCACTCCCCTACAGGAGTAAAGCAAACAAATGTAGTCGTCCTGGAACTCAGATAAACTCCACTCTGTTCCTATGTTGTAGTCACTGAGCCCAGTACTGTGGCATGTTGTTTACTCTGATCACTGTGTCACTTCCTGCTTTTCTCTTTCCTGCTATTTTACCGCTTTTGTTGGAAGGAGCACTATGAATTCTCTTCTTAAAATGAAACCCAAGAATAGCGTTGCAATATTTTACCAAGGCTTCTCCTAAGGCAGATCATCCACTATTTAAAGAGACTGATTCCACAACGTGACTCCAGGGGACTGGTGTAATTTGTGAACCTTGTTTTAAACTTGTCTCTTACTAAGAATATCAGAAAAAAATTAAATTAGACAATTGTGTAAATCTCATAAATGCCTGGAAGTTATGCTTAGTTTAGGTAGTGAAGCTTCAGACTGTTTCTGCATGGCAGTAAGAGGTGGCAATGTGGGCATAGTCTGCTTGTTCTGATCAGAGAAATGCTAACACAGTAACTTGGAGCAAGAGTATCAGGATGGCTAGGATGGGGATGGGTATGAGATTGATCTAGGTTGGTGTCATGGATGTTCATTCCACATCAAGTTCTGTTTGAATAAGCAAATTTTTGGCTCACAGACTTCTTTCTTAAGCCTGAGGTGTCATGAGAAAAGCAGGTGAGAATCGTGTTTTTTACAGTGGTAATATTGAGTTGGATGTTTGTGTTGGCTTGTAGCCGCTAATGATTCCTCATTCAATTTGGCTGAAGGGACCCAGTCATTGACTACAATGCCATGACCCCATTTGTGTTTCAGATGTGAAGTGGGTAGACATCACACCAGATATGATGATGCAGGAAAGGCCCTTTGATACTGACTGCAAACGCCTGAGCCCTGGTGAGTTCCATCCTCAGATGCCCTTGCTTTGTGCTCAGAGTGATGAGATGGAGATGTCTCTTCCCCACTTCCCATGTACTTTATGTCTCTTTTAGATCGGTGCAAGTGCAAAAAGGTGAAGCCAACTTTGGCAACATACCTGAGCAAAAACTACAGCTATGGTAAGTCTTCTGAAATTGCCATTTGCTTTGGGGACTTAGCACACTAAGGCACTTAAATCACATCAGACTGATGTCCTAATCGCACAAAGGGAGATGATGGATTTTGCTGCTGTTATTGTTGTTAATTATATGTTTTCTGGAACTCTCAACAACAACCATAAAGCTTCTTGCTTTTCTGGGTAAATCAAAATAAACAAAATAAATCACATAAGAAATTGTCTCAGCGAAAACTGCTGTATAGAAAGTGGCAGAGGACCATTGTTCTCTTTCTCAGTTATTTCAGTATAGGAAGGACGAGAGTTCAGACCAGGATTTGATTATCTGAAGACCAGAGGATGAAGACCTGACTATGTATCTTTTTTTCTCATCAAATGCTACAGATGTTTAACGCTCCTCTCTTTTACTTGAACAAACCATTTAGTACTTCCTCCAAAGGAAAAACAAATCAGTCATGGTATTTTAAAAGTTTTAAGTGTTTTTTATTCCACTGTTATCATTTGGAATTAAATTTAATTGTGTTTTTTAACATGTATTTGAGATCTGAAGCAATTAAATTGCTTACAGCAATACATATATGCATCCACCCATGCATGACAAATAAACACACACACACACACACACACACACACACACACACACACTGTAACTATACACACATATACATGAAAAGAAGAAAAAGTAAAAACAAATCAAGTGTCCACTTGGGCTATTTAATCTCTTGTTTCATTTCTTAAATTATTTCTCTTAAAAGAAGAACAGAAAAGTAACAGGAAAAGTATAGTTTCTTTATCAATTTGGTTTCATATTTTAACTGAAATTATGTATCAATACGAAGTCTTAGATTATTTACCACTTAAGAAAGTAGGGAGATATAGCAACTCTGAACAAATAACCTGCAGTTCAGCTGTCATATTTGAGAGTCAAAAATAACCATTATGGACAATTTAACAATAGAAATTTTATTTTCTTCTGAGTAGCATTCATTCTTGAAACGTGTTCCATGTAGACGTTGTCTTAATATTATCTGCTTTATTCTTGTCTGCCAAGATCCAGCCTAAGTCTAACCAGAGGCTATCTAACCCCTGCTACCCTTATCTTTGGGGTGCCATGCTTTGGAGGCACCTTAGCAATGAACTGCTCACTTGAAAAATGTTTGTTTCCTCCTCAGGCCAGCTTCCTTGGGTGGAATCCAAAACAGACCTATTGAGTTAATCAGTGACTCCACTAGAAGTACTAAATAGCAAGAGTCCAAAGAATCTGGAACTTAACACTTGATCAAAGGTGGTGACCTGAACATCCACCTGCAATAACAATCTCATCTCCCCTCTCCTTGGGTCATCACTGTCAGTTGGTGAAATGAATGAATTGAAAACAGCAGCTTTAAGAGATTCCTTGAGTTGGAAAATATTAGTGTTAGGTCTCAGGTTGTCTAAATATTCAGAAATTAGTTCAAACTGGACTATAGGAGGATGTTTGGTGGTTAGATAAAAGCCAGCATTCTGTGAGGACCTGGCTGTTATGGCTGATGGCCATCATCCAACTCATAAGAAGGGAAAGTAAAAACAGTTAAAAATGTTTACATGGTTTGGTTGACCGGTAAGTCCAGGCTAATGCTGGCCTTCTAATTCCCCTCTCATTTTGAGATGTGGTTCATGAATTTTTAAGGCAATGTTGAAAAATAGGATGTTTGCATTTAGCAGTGTGGGCTTTCTGCCTGCACTTGGGGTGCTTGGACATGACCGTAATTACAGGAGTAATGTTGTAAGAGAGGCTCTGGATTTGGCCCTAAAACACTGCCTCTAGTTCTCCCAAAGGCTTCAATAACAGCACTTACTTGAGTTTTAAATTGCAGTTATTCATGCCAAAATCAAAGCCATCCAGAGGAGTGGTTGCAATGAAGTAACAACTGTGGTGGATGTAAAAGACATCTTCAAGTCTTCCTCACCCATACCTCGAACACAAGTTCCCCTCATCACGAATTCTTCCTGCCAGTGTCCACATATCCTGCCCCATCAAGATGTCCTAATCATGTGTTATGAGTGGCGTTCAAGGTAGGTTCCAAGCAGCAGAAGAATTGCATGCAGAGCATGCATCTCACTGAGCAGTCATGGTTTTAAAGGTCAAAGAAATGCCAGTTGTTGTTGAAAAATAATATTTTAGTAGATGTCTTTTCTGGCTTGCTGTATTTCCTAAATATAAATTTGTTCATTATCTGAATATTCTAAATTTCCAGTTAATAGAATGAGGGAAATTTAGAAAAATACTTAAATAGGATAATTAAAAATCTATTTCAGAATCCATCAGGTGAATTAAAATAATCAACAAGTAAATTATGTTGAGTAAGAGAGTTACTTTTAAGTCTTTTTACCAGTCTTAGCATGAAGGGGTCCGAATTTTAAAGTACTGTCCAGTACCTTAGAGGCCAACTAGCAGCCACCTTAGACTAAAGTTTTGTGTTTTCCTAATGTGTAAAGTACCTTTTATAGAACATTGCATACACACAAACACACATAGAAACTTTAAGATGGTTTCTGAATCTGAGAACATATAATGTCAAATTAAGTCATCACAAAGCAAAGCATAATTGAATAAACAAACACATGTCTTTCCCTAGTCATTTGTTCACACATCAGTACAGTCCTGAGAATATAGAACTGAGCTTTTCAGCTTAAGTCCTAGGACAGACCCCATAACTTGCAGTAATTTTATCTTTGAAAATTACACATATTTATATAACACCCCCCTTTTCATTTTCTGGCATTTATACTTATATGTTGCTTCTTGATAAAGCCCAAGACTCCATTCCTCTAAACTTAAAAGGCAAATGCATTTTTCAAAATGTCATAATTTCAATGCCTAGATGTGTATTCTATCAGTTGTTGATACCCCTCCCATAGCGCTGCATGTTCTTTGCTTTCAAACCATCCTTCTATTTACAACTGTCTCCCTGAAGATATGTCCAGTGCTTCTGTACTCATTTCTTCGTTGTGTTTATATGAGCTGTAACAAAGCAGGGTTCATTTGGGGACATACTAGGTTATTAGTCATTCAATTCTTTCTAGGCAGATGAGTGGATTATAGACTCATTCAGTGCAACTATTTTTGGATGGCTGTGATTCATGTAAAGAAGATTTTGAAAATAATTAGAGATATATCTTGAAGAGACACAAAACTGTCATAAAGCTACTCATTTTGAAACTATGTAGTTTAAGAACAGACATACAGATAAAGAAAAAGAAATGCTTTCCCTTTATTTTATTTATCTCCAGTGCCTAGGATTGTACCTAGGGCCTTGAGTGCTCAATGAGCCAAGCATTCTATATCATTAAGCCTTCAATCCCCACTTTACTTTTTATTTTCAGACAATGTAGTACAGGTGGTCCTTGTACTCATTCAGTAGCCCAACCAGACCTCAGACTTGCAACCTTCCTTCATCAGTCTCTGTTCCAAATAGCAGGAGTTATAGGCATGTAAGAAGCAGATCCAGCTAAGGGAAATATTCTTGAAAATAATTTAAACAAATAAAAGAATATTTTATGATGGTGATGTGATAAAACCATTGCATATGAATGTATTAGTTACAGATATATTTATTTATAAAAAGTGGTTTGTTTCACTGTATTAAGAGACAAATTTAAAATGGATTAAATTGGTGAACATTTTAAAACCATGGTCAAAAGGACAAAATTAGATGATTAGAAATATGACACCTGAAATGCAAAGTGCTTTATAAGCACAAAATCAATGCAAGAAACTGCAAAGGAAAATGTCAGTGCACATTTTAACTGGATGATATGTGTACAACAGTCACAAAAGCCAATAGAAAAGGGTATGCCTCTGTAATGGATATGATGAAGATGCAGATATTCTCCAAAATTACCATTTAAAGTATTAAAAACACAATACATAAATGTATGCTTAAATCCTCGTAGAAAATTTCCCTACGTACAAACAGTAAATAAACATTAAAATTTACTTCTGTATTTCTGAAGCTCAAATAAACAGAAGATTCTACTTTTAATTAGTATTTTAATGTCAGTGAATTAGATGAAAATGAGGCTATTTAAAAAGATCTACATATGCAGTGTGATCAGAAAAGCATATAGGAACAAGAAAAATCCATAAATTATCAATAGTAGATAAACAGTTATGAGGAAACAAGTATGATTTTCTGTATTGGTAAATGCTTAACTTTTATAACCAAAATTTAATTGCCAAGAAATTTATTTTTTTCTAGGATGATGCTTCTTGAAAACTGTTTAGTTGAAAAATGGAGAGATCAACTTAGTAGAAGGTCCATAGTAAGTATAATTAGCAAAATGGTGGGCATGGGTAGAAATGGCTGTAAGAAAATACTACAAACTGGGTATTTTCCCACAATGTCTTCTCCCCAAGCTCTCACAACAGCCAATAATGTCAAGAGCACCTGTCTTTTGAATCTACAGTTGAGAATCATATCTAATTTAGTTGGAATTCTTATCAGAAACTGTTACCCAACCTCATAGTTAATGCAGTTGTACTCAAATATAAGGTGTCAGTTAATTCCAGGTTAAACTAGGCCTTTTTCTTTTTTATTATATTATAACATAGTTAATACAGTAAACAGTATAAAAATTTAGTGTTCATAGGGGTTAAAACGAACATATAACTGCAGACATGCAAATACTTGTAAAATGCATACCACAACTAACCATACTGTGCTGCAATTAAAATAATGTAAGCCATGTCTCTAAATAATCATAAGCAAAAGAAATTCATTTGTGGTCAAATGTATAATTTTAATGGTAATATCACTATCACTTTGACAGTTACGCTACAGTTATAATATTCTCCCCACCCAAGATGAAAATCATCTGCAATTAAAAATGGTAATTTGTTTGGAATTTTTAAAGCACCTTTGGTCCTCAAAATAAATGTAGACATATTGAGGAGAATTTATATTTTAGCTTCAAAAAAGAAAGCATTCCTGTCCAGTTTTTCAGTTTGGATGAATAAAAATTTTAGGTAAGACAAGGGAATATATTAAGAATTAGCTTAGGGAAAAACATCTGAACACTGAGCATGCCTGTAAAATAGAATCAAACACTACTGTGTCAGGTGTGTGGTAAATCTCCCATCAGAATCTTGGGAACTATTCGGTAAGTGTATTCACTGTAATGAGTTAAAATACTTTAGCAGAATTGCATTTCTGGTTCCCAAGACAAACCTATAATTGAAAAATCAATGAAGAAAGGAATTCAACCTCTGACCTCCACACTCCACACATGTGTGTACATACACACTAAAATAATAAATAAATAGATAGATAAATAAATCTGTAATACATACATACATCATACCACAACTTTTGCTTTCAAAAGTAAAAGAAAGATGACTCATTCCTCAGTGGTCTGGGCACTTTAGAGGGTCACAGCAGGTCCCCTTTGTCTGCCTCTCTATGTCTCATGTTTTTTTTGTTGTTGTTGTTGTTAGTTAATTAGTTAGTTTGTTTTGTTTTTTTTATCTTCAGGCAATTTCAAAAATATAAAACAATACAATAAGACATTTTGAGAGAGACCACATTTATTATAGTAAATGGATGCAACAATTTTACTCTTGATATCATTACATTTCCCTGTGCCTAACATATTAGTTAAACTTTACAATAGGTACATAATACAACAAAAGCAACAGCATCTCTAGAGCAAAATGCTGTGCATAGTCAGCATTGTGCACATGGGGTCTTGGAAGAGGCAGTGAAGAAGGCAGAACTACTCGTTTTATTTTCCTTTGGGTATAGGTAATTACTTCAATGGAGTAAATCACTGTCTTTGTAGAGAGACTACATAGATTCCTGCTTTTAGTGATGGCAACACTATTTTAGCATGCTTCGTTGTGTAGAGATACTATATTGTGAGGCTTGCCATCAGAAGCACACAGGTGACAGGCCTGAGCTCTAGAAACAGTTGGAGGATTTTGAATGCTGGCAAGAACTTTTAGTGGCTCTTTGGGCTCTGCAAAAAACCTCTATGTGCTTTTTACTGATCGTGACAATGGCGCCTAGATGATCTGTGTGAGCTTCAAAGAAATGGGTTGAGGATTTAGACTTCTTTGCATATGGAGTTCTTTCCAGCCACTGGATACATAAGTATGCAACATAGGGAACCTATGTTGATTGCCGTGATGTTACAGTGGAACTGCCCTAATGGGAAACCTCCCGGGTCAGTTCTCATGTCAGTTGAACAGCATAAAAGGATGACATGTATTTGATAGTTACGTTTACATTGCCTCCCAGCAGTGGGAAGAGAGGCTCCGTGAACAGCAGAGGACAGTTCAAGACAAGAAGCGAACAGCCAGCCGCACTAGTCGTAGTAACCCCTCGAAGCCAAAGGGAAAGCCATCCGTTCCCAAAGCTGCCAGCCCTAAGAAGAATGTCAAAGCAAGAAGTGCCCTCAAAAAACAAAACCCAAAGAAAAGCACAAGCTAATTACTTTCCAAGATGGAGCCACACATTCAGGATAAGGCCATACTGCCCGGGACAGCCTACAGAAGGCCACACACCACTTGCCTTAAGGACTCACAGCAGTTCTCTTTATAGACACACCTTGCAGCACTTTTTTAAATGATAGCTTCAGTTTCCCTCTTTAAGCACACAGCCCTGTTGGTGGTTGGTCCTCTGGTATGAAAGGTGCAAGAGGGAAAGCTGACATATAGGTTTTTGCATTCAAAGTGGCCTGTGCGCATGCTCTGTGTGACCTTCATGGGGCGGGAAATGTGCTTCTGTTTTGAGAGTTTGCCCTAATACGTACATTGTAAAGTTCACATACTATGTCAAACAAAACAATTTTTAACAAAAATATTTTATTTCCTTTGACTTCTGTTGGGAAGTCAGTGATCTATTAAATGTGATTGAAAATATGCTTTTTGACAAAGGCAGGAGAATGAATGATACTTAAAAGATCTTCATGTGTTTGATGTCTGCAGAAAGATTTTTCTGATGAATGGGGTCTTGAAAAATTTAGGGATATGGGAAATAGTAATATGTGTTTGTCAGACTTCCAGCTCTGTCTTTAGCTAGAAACTGAAAACTAAGCTAACAATGACAAATAAAAAGGAGAGGCAGTCTGACAATGCCTGTGTTCTTATCATCCAGTTTCCACACCATGCTGAAGATGCTCTGATGAAAAAGCTTTTCACCATTGTCCCAGGAACCACACCACAGAGAGTATGCTTCTTTTACCCTTTATGACTCAGACACCAAGTAGCTGGTTAAACCGACAGGAGAGTTGCGGCACTCATCTCATGCCTGGGACATCTTAGCACAAATGGGACATGATATTCTCTGTGCACCTGCAGGGCCTCACAGCCATGTTTGTGGAGTTGTGGTGGCTGGGATGCCTAACCTGGTTCATTTTGTGCCATGCCATAGGCACTACAGTCACTGTTTCTTGGTACAGGGAGCAGAGGCCACTTAGCTACCCACTAAACAATATGAAAGCTTAAGCCTTAGATTTACCATTGTCCCTGCTTGTCAGAGGAAAGGTCAGTGACATATCACACTCATAGTCATTGAGACATAGACACTGAGATTAACATGGCTGGGGCAAGTGGAGAAATGTTTCTATTAACAAGTACTAAGTATACACTAGTCACCTCCTGGAGGCTTAATTTTGCTTTCATTGTGACCCTAAGCTGATAGCTGAAGAAACACAAGAGCATAAGTTAAATGCATAGTATGTGATCCTGTTGCAAAAAAAATCTGTTCCATTGACTCTTAAGGAAATCCTGACAGGCATTTCCTATAGCATCTAAACCCTAAGATCTCTGGACAGGTCATTAATCACTGTTGATAGTCTATGCAGCCTGTTAGCACAAAGAGGATTGATTGACAGAGGACACTTAGTGATAGAAGTCATCACACTCTGCAGAAAAGAAGTAAAAATACTTCTGCAAAATGATTTTAAGTACAGAACCCCTTCCCTGGCCCCACACCTCTGGTTCCTTTACTAGAGGCCAGGCTGTCTCTAGGGACTCCAGACATCAACTACCACCCACCAACACTTCTCAAAGCCTGCCCAACAATCCCAGACTGCACCACCTCTTCTGGGCTCAATATTCTGGCAAACACCTTCAGCAGAAGACTTCTGCTTTATCTGAGGCCAGGCAGATACTAGGGACCCAAGAAAAACACTGCCCACAGCAGCTAACACTCTCTAAAACTGGCCCCCAAACCTCCAACAGCACCCCTTCCTCTGAGTTCCATATCCCAGCCTGCTACCTTGCCAGAAAACTTCTTCTGTATGGGAGGCATCCTGTACTATGAATCCCTTAGAACAAACAGGTTCTCATAACCACAGAGGCCACATAGATACTTGGAACTGCAGCAGCAACATTGGCACCCAAATCCCAGATGTCCTACAGGCCACAAAATCCTCACTGGAGATACCCTACTGGACCTGAAGAGTTACTAGTCACCAGAACTCCTGGCCACTTAGGCAAGAAGACCAGAAAGGGAACAGAAACAAAGCAACAAAACAACTATCCACAACAAAGACAACATGGAGAACTAACACTTAGATCTAATCCAGATGCCTAAATGCCAGTATAAGAACACAATCAGCAACCAGAAGGGCAATATTGCATCACCAGAGCCCAGCTATCCTATAACAGCAAGACCTGATCAGTTCAATGAAGGTGAAGGACAAGAAAACAACCTTAAAACCAACTTTACAAAGATGATAGAAGCCCTTAAAAAGGAAATGAAAAAAAAATCATTTAAAGAATGCCATGAAAGAAAAAAAAATGGAGAGGTGAAGGAAACTGTTCAAGACCTAAAAATGGAAATAGAAGCAAAACAACAACAAAAAAATGGGGGGAATTCTAGAAATGGAAAATCTGGATAAGCAAACAGGAACAATAGACATTGAAGACATGATAGGAAAATAGATTTGTCAGCCAAAAAAAATTGTTAAATCTAGAAAATTCCTAACACAAAATATTCAAGAAATCTAGGACACCAGGAAAAGACTAAATCTAAGAATAATAGGAACAGAAGAAAGAGAAGAATCCTAACTCAAAGGCACAGAAAATATATTCAACAAAATCATAGAAGAAAATTTCCCTCACGCCCAAAGAAGGACATATCTATAAAGATAAAAGAACAGCAAATAGATTGGACTAGGAAAAAGTTTTCACACATATAATAATCAAAACACTAAATACATAGAACAAAGAAAGAATATTTCAAGCTGCAAAGGAAAAAGGCCAAGTAACATAAAAGCTAGCCTGTTAGAATTACACTTGACTTCTCAATGGAGACTCTAAAATCCAGAAGGGCCAGGACTAATGTCTTGCAGACTGTAAGAGACCACAGATGCCAGTCCAGACTACTGTACTCAGCAAAACTTTCAATCACCATAGATGAAGAAAACAAGGTATTTCATGACAAAGTCAAATTTAAACAATATCTATCCACAAATCCAGCTCTACATAAGGTACTAGAAGGAAAACTCCACCCCAGGAGGTTAATTATATCCACAAAAACACAAGCAATAAATAACCTCACACCAGCCAAAAACAAACACATATGCATGCATACACACACACACACACACACACACACACACACACACACACGCACAAACATACCACCAACACTACCAACAAAATAACAAGAATTTACAATCATTGCTCATTAACATCTCTCAATCTCAATGGACTCAATTTTCCAATACAGGCTAACAATATAAATAGGAAAACAGGATCCCTCCTTCTTCTGCATACAAGAAACACAAATCAACAACCAAGAGAGACATTACCAAAGATTAAAAGGTTGAAACAAGATTTTCCAGTCAAATGGACCTAAAAAGAAAACTGGCTTAGCTATCCTAATATACAAAATAGACAACAAACTAAAATTAACTCAAAGACATGAAGAAGGATATTTCATACTCACCAAAAGAAAAATCCACTAAGAGGACACTGCAATATTTAATATCTGTGCTCCAAAAGCAAGGGTGTCTACATTTGTAAAAGAAACATTGCTGAAACTTAAATCATATATCAAACCTCACACTTTTATTGTGTGAGACTTCAATACCCCACTCTCCCCAATGGTCAGGTCATCCAGACAAAAACTAATTAGAGAAATAAAGGAGCTAACATGTTATGACTCAAATGGATCTAACAGCTATCTACAAAACATTTCGCCAAAACAGAATATACCTTCTTCTCAACACCTCATGGAACATTCTCAAGAACTGACCAAATACTCAGTCACAAAGCATGTTTCAACAGATACAAGAAGTCAAAGCATCAATGTTTGAAGATGATATGATTGTATACATAAGTAAACCCAAAAATTCAGCAAAGTGACTAGATACAAAATAAACTCAAAAGAATCAGTAGCTCTCCTGTACAGAAACAATAAATGTGCTGAGAAAGAAATTAGGGAAACAAAACCCTTCACAGTAGTCAAAAATAATATAAAATATCTTGATGTAACTCTAATCAAGCAAGTGAAAGACCCATATGGCAAGAACTTCAAGCCTTTGAAGAAATAAATTGAAGGTGGCATCAGAAGATAGAAAGATCTCCCATGTTCCATGGATGGATAGGATTAACATAGTAAAAATGGTAATCTTACCAAAAGCAATCTATGGTTCAACACAATTCCCATCAAAATTCCAAAACAATTCTTTACAGAACTTGAAAGACGAATAGTCAACTTCAGATGAAAAAAAAAAAAACTAGGATAGCTAAAACAATCCTGTACAATGAAAGAACTTCTGAAAGTATCACCATCTCAATTTCAAGTTGTACTTCAGAGTTGTAGTAATAAAAAAAAAAAAAAACCCTGCATGGTAAAACAGACAGGTTGATCAATGGAACTGAATTGAAGACTCAAACAGAAATTTACAGACCTATGGACATCTGATTTCTGATAAAGAAGCCAGAAATATACAATGGAAAAAAGAATCTTCAACAAATGGTGCTGGCCTAACCAGATGTCAACATGTAGAAGAATGATAATAGATCCATACCTATGACTTTGTACAAAACTCAAGTCCAAGTAGATCAAAGACCTCAACATAAAACTGGGTACACAGAATCTGATAGAAGAGGAAGTGGGAAGTAACCTTGAACTAACAAAGATACATCTACCTCTTTATTCTGAGTCCTGGGATTAAAGGTGTAGCTGATTTTTATAGCTTGAGGCTACCTTGGCTTTCTCAATCATCAGGCAAGCTAAGACAGTCTATGGGACCTCTGACAGAGGAGCCAGTCTTTAACCCTAGAGCACAAATGGACTTTGGGAGCCCATTCCCTATGGAAGGATACTATTGCAATCCAGATACAACAAAGAGGGCCTAGGCCCTCCCCCAAATGATATGACAGACTTTGAAGGTCCGTAGTGGAGGGCCTCACTATCCCTAGGGAGGAGTTGAGGGATGGGTTGGGGGGTTGGGGGGTAACATGGGAGGATGGGAGGGTGAGGGAATGGGGGGTGGATATATAAATATGAGTAGAAATTAAAGAATTTAAATAAAAAGGAAAAAATAATAAATATCACCACAAAAGGATACTATCAAAAGGACAAAACACATCCTACAGAATAGGAAAAGATCTCCAGTAACCCCACATCTGACAGGGAGTTGATCTCTAAAATGTATAAAGAAACTAGACAGCAACAAACCAAATAATCCAATTAAAATAAGGTTACTGATCTAAACAGGGAATTCTCAACAGAGGAATCTCAAATGTCTGAGAAACACCTAAAGAATTGTTCAACATCCTTAGCCATCAAGGAAATGTAAATCAAAGCAACTCTGAGATTCCTTCTTACACCTGTCAGAATGGCTAAAAACAAAACACAAGTGACAACTCATGCTGGAAAGGATGTAGAGCAAGGGGAATATGCCTCCATTGTTGATTGGAGTGCAAACTTGTACAGCCACTTTAGAAATCAATACAGTAGCTTCTCAGAAAATTGGGAGTCAATCTACTTCAAGACCCAGCTATACCACTTCTGGGCATATACCCAAAGAATGCTCTACAACATTATGCAGACACTTGCTCATCTCTGCTCATAGCAGCTTTACTCATAATAGCCCCAAACTGGAAAC